ACAGTTAGTTCCCAGAACCTGAACCATCAGCAGTAGCTAAACAAATAAAAACATTTTATGGGAGCAGACAGGAGAACTAGTGCCCTGGTTGTTCTCAGCTCTTTCCACAGGCCACATAAGAGTGAGCCTGTGTCTGGCTTGCTCAAAGCATTTTCTCTCCTTTCCACCATTAATTTATGAGGAGAACATTTTTGAGAAATTGATTGAGCTGAAATACTTAATTCTCCCAGCTGCCCATCGTTATGTCCAAATCTGCTTTACTAACATGACTGGATGTTCTGGTGAACTGAATAGGGTGAGCACAATTTGAACCTGTGAGTTTACACTCTTTTTGTCCCTAGATCATCCACCACCTGCATCCAGCCTTAGCAAGGTCCTGCTTCCACAGTTGCATCTGGGGCCATTGACTTGTGCGCCCAGACAGCAACTCTCTCCTTGAGAACGGCTCTCTCCTGTCACCCCTCATGGAGCCGATCATTTTCCACACACACAAAGAAAAGGGGGTCTTGCCAGTGCCATTTCTGCCCCAACTGCCATGTTAGTTCTCTCTCTCTCCCCAGGCCAGAAAAGGCAGGATGCTGCCTGTGAGAGGGGTTGCACTTGGGTCCAAGCACTTGGGAGAGGAATGTCCACTTTACAGGCCTCCTATGCAGGCCTGGAGATGACACGTTGTGCAGCACCTCAACTGTGACTGTCTTTTCTGCTGTCACACTGACAGTGGGGTTAACCCATCTGGAACTACCCCATCCTTTTCTTAAGTGGTGCACACACCTCCTCATCTCCCTGTTCTCTCACCTGGTGAAGGCTTCTGATTTTACCTTTCTAATTACCTCTTTTCTCCCCCTACATTGTACGATGAACACTTTCTACCTTATCCCTCAGTTCTGCAGCACAGGTTGTGAGAAGTTGTTACATCTCCTTCAGCCAGAGTAGGTAGAGGACATATAGGAAGATCAGACTGAAAGGCATATTAACAGGAGTGAAATGGGATACAAAAAGCTTGAGGCCTTTCTCTCTGAAGCTCATAGTAAAACACAAAATAAGAGCTCCTTTTGATTTGTGGTAATTGCAGAATTCAGAAAAAAAAAAAAAAATCGGTTTGTGTTGCAGAAGCCCAAACTGCCTCTACTTCCCAAAATGCAGAATAGCCAGCTGTCACCTCCAGTCATTTTCCATCAGAAAGAACTGTAGACAGGGACGTTCGCAACAAAGATGAAGCTCTGAAAGTGGCCTAAGAGCCAAGGAAACTGTAGGGGCTTACAGATGGTAATGGGCAAGGGTGAAGGCAGCTTGTCCTGATGATGAATTGCTTGTAATTAGCCATACTAAAGACCTTAATCTTAAATGGTTTGATCTGCTCAGAGGATAAACTGAACCAGTATGCTCACACAACTGAGTTACTCTCTTTACATGCTGGGACTGTCATTCACCTCTAAGACTCATTACTCCCAATACAAACAAATGGCAATGGAGTGGGAAGGCTGACAACTATTCACTCTCAGGGCAGTCACTGAGCTCCCACTGGGCTGGAGTGAATATCTAGCACTGACCTGTCTCGAGGAAATCCCTCTCATCCAGGTATAAGACAGGAGACCTTGTTTCCCGGGTCTGTTCCAAGCCTGGTACCAGCTTTACAGCTTTCTGCGGTTTTCCTTGCTACTGTCAGGGCCCTCTACATCATCGCCCCGGGCAGGCCATAACTCGAGCTGGTCATTTTCCTCCAACCTTGGAAAGCAGGCACCGGGGAAAGCGACTGGTCTCCTTGGTGCTTTATGAGCAACCTGTGAGGAAAGGAAGCCTTTGGTGGACAAAGGCAGTCAGGCCGTTCCAGTGGTGGCTGGCCCCCGAGTAGTACAGGCACTTGCCAGCCCAAAGCCGTTGACCAGGGGATCATAGAATTATAGAAGCATAGTGCTCTCCCTACAAAAAGCATTGGTGAGGCAGAGTTAATAATTCCCGCTGAGGGCCTGGGGTCAGCTTGCTGAAGGCATTGCTTTAGGGGAGCTGCAGTCCCCAGAGGTGCCCTCTCTAGTCCCAACCTGCCCCAGCTGCACAGGGAGCTTTTCTCCAGGCAGGCCTGGAGTCACAGATCATAGAATCATAGAAGACCTTTAAGATCATCAAGTCCAACCATTAACCTAACCCTGCCATCCCACCACTAAACCATGTCCCTAAGCACCTCATCTACCCATCTTTTAAATACCTCCAGGGGTGGGGACTTGGGGACTTGACCACTTCCCTGGGCAGCCCATTCCAGAGCCTGACAACCCTTTCTGTGAAGAAATTTTTCCTAATGTCCAACCTAAACCTGTCCTGGTGCAACTTCAGACCTTTCCCCCTCATCCTGTCGTCCGTTACCAGGGAGAAGAGGCCGACCCCCACCTGGCTACAGCCTCCTGTCAAGCAGTTGTAGAGGGGGATAAGGTCTCCCCTCAGCCTCCTCTTCTCCAGGCTGAACAACCCCAGTTCCCTCAGCCACT